TCTTACGTTTGTATTTGTTGAACATTACGGATGTGGGAGGGAATCAGAGCCTGCCCTGGTCCCAGCAGTGTGGCAGTTTAATGGAGGGCAGGTTGTTTTTTTTTTTAATTCTGAGACAGAAGTCAGCTATCAAGGGCAGGTGTTTTTGGTTTTTTTTTGAGACGGAGTTTTGCTCTTGTTACCCAGCCTGGAGTGCAATGGCGCAATCTCAGCTCACCGCAATCTCCGCCTCCTGGGTTCAGGCAATTCTCCTACATCAATCTCCCGAGTAGCTGGGACTACAGGCCGTGCCACTATGCCCAGCTAATTTTTGTATTTTTAGTAGAGACGGGGTTTCAACATATTGACCAGGATGGTCTCGATCTCTTGACCTCGTGATCCACCCGCCTCGGCCTCCCAAAGTGCTGGGATTATAGGCGTGAGCCACCGTACCCGGCCGAGGGCAGGTTTTATAGCCTTCCCGAGCTTCCGCTTCCTCATCAGTGGGACGGTCTAGGCAGCTGACTCGGTGGTCACTGCAAAGTGACAGAGCCCGCAGGCAGAAGGAGCACCCCACTGTGGCAGATGAGGTCCGGGCTGTGATCAACAGCCTCAGAGCTCCTGTGGACCTAGCATGTGCTTAGCGGACCAACACGACTGCATCTTCTTGGTGGCACGTGACCACCTGGTCTTTGGTTGCCAAGCACTGCCTCAGCTCCGCCATCCCCAGGATGCCATGCCATTCTCCCCCAGAGTCAGGGGTCTGACTCACTGGCGGTAACTCTGACCTCATCCTCGGCACCCACAGAGCTTTCAGGGAAACAGGTGTCCCACATGTGATGAGGAGGACCCTCTGGGTCTCTCTGGGGATGTCAGGTAGGGGAGGTAGGTCGCCAAGGTAAGCTTGCCCCAGCATCCTGCCCCTCACACCTGCAGGGATACTCTGGTGGCTCGGCCGCCTTTGGCCACATGAGCTGACACATCAGGTCCTGGTCTCCACGAAGGTCCAAGGATCCTCCTGGAGGTCCCCAGGTCCCGCAGCCCTCCAGTGGCTGCATTTCCTGTGGCTGCTGCCTCTGTTGTGCCTTTAGCCCCTCTCAGGCTGGCACCTTTCAGCCGGCTGACAATTCAGCCGCCGAAGATCCTTGTTCAGACTATGGGTTTGTCCATGTGCTGGCCAAGCCTCCGACACAGGGCCAGCAGCTGTACCTCTAGGCCGTAGGCTAATGGCTGGGAGGAGACATAGCCCACATGGAGCTCTGTGTGGGGGCATCAGGCTCCCTCTGCACCTGGCAGGGAGGAGAGGCCTTGCCACTGCATTGGCAGTGGCCCAGCCACTGCGTCTGCTCTGAGTAGTGCAGTGTGTCCCTGAGGGCGATCCCTGGCCCTTGGCCAGTGTGGTGGTGGCGGCCTGGCCTCCTCCAGTGACCTGTTGGGGGCTGCTTCACACCAGACAGCTCAGCCTCTCCTCACGTCCCTCACCTGTCACTGTCATCCTGTCACTGTGACCTTGGGACAGAGGTCCAGTGGTGTGTGGAAGAAGAGGCTGGACCAACAGGGGGATGAGGGAGACCTGCCAGTGTGTAGCAGCAGGACACTGCCTCCGAGGGGTTCTGTGCCCTGGGGTGATGCATGCATGTTTAGCTGGGAGGGTAGAGCAGTGGGGGGAAGTGGACAGCCAGACCCTGTCCTGAGATGTTCTCTGTCCTTTTTGCTGAAACCTGCCACCTCTGTGTGTTCTAATGATATGTGGAAGGGGGACTCAAGCTCGCCAGATTGACACTTGTAGATTCAGCTGGCTAAAAGCAAGCGCCCAGCTGAATCTGCCAAGCCAGTTCTTCCTATGATCTAGGGCTTCTGGAAAGAGGGAACTTAACTTCCGTGGGGAGCCAGTGAGAAGACCTGCCATGCAGCAAGCTGGGCACAATTACAGACGGCGCTGACATCTCCTGGGGTGGAGTGCTGAGTGTACCAGGGTCCCACTGTAGCCGCTCCTAGGGGGTCCTGCCCTCAACCAACCTGCACTCCCACTCTGGACTCCCATGTCCAGAGTGAAGCTTCCTCTGGACATGCTGGAGGCCTGGGTGTGAGCTGCCACAGCCATGTGGGTGCTTCTGGGAAGTGGGAGGAGAGCTGGTATCCAGCCCCACACCAGCCCCACAGAGGCTGAGAGCAGAACAGATGCAACCGGGCGCAGTGGCTCACGCCTGTAATCCCAGCACTTTGGGAGGCTGAGGCAGGCAGATCACAAGGTCAAGAGATCAAGACCATCCTAGCCAACATGGTGAAACCCCGTCTCTACTAAAAAAATACAAAAAAATTAGCCAGACACGGTGACACACGCCTATAGTCCCAGCTACTCGGGAGGCTAAGGCGGAAGAATCGCTTGAACCCAGGAGGCGGAGGTTGCAGTGAGCTGAGTTTGCACCACTGCACTCCAGCCTGGTGACAGAGCAAGACTCCATCTTAAAAAAAAAAAAAAAAAAACCAGATGTGAGCCAGCCAGGCCTGCTGGGCTTGGGAGGCCTTGGAAGCCCCACTCTGCCCCTAGAGCATGCCTGGTGCTTCCTTTCACAAGTGTGCCACCAACATAATGCACCAGTGTGATGCCATGTGGGATGGCAAGAAATAAAGTCCCTGTGAAATAAACTACATGAACTCAATTCACTCAGGAAAAAAAAAAGAAATTATAAACAAAAGCCAGGGAGCTGCTGACCCAGCCCTGAGATACAGTGAAGGTGTGCTACTGCCTCAGCCTGGTAGAAGCACATTGCTTCTGGTGTTCTCTGTGTATTGAGATAGAAAAAAAAAAACTCACCAGCTTGATACCAGCACTCAGGGATATCAAGAGACCACATCTAGAACAGCAGGGATGCAGTGGGGGTAGCCTGGCAGCATCAGACCTGGAGGGGACATAGGTGAATGTGAGGTCACATCTGACCAGCAAGCCTCTCCCTTGCTCTCACCTCTCCTCACACTCACCCCACCTACCTGGCAGCCTGCCAGCCCCCTGCCCTCCCTCAGCGACCCTAGACTGGCAGTGGAAAAGCGCCTCCCTAGGGCCATGGCAGGGCACCCTGTGCTGAGACAATCTGCTGAGCCCTTCCCCAGGCCTGGCCCAGGCCTAAGGCATGTCTGTTAAGACGTAAGAAGAAACGCACATTGCAAAACTAATGCTTTGCATTTACCGAGGGTTTTCTGTGTCAGTGCTGAGCTCAGGGCCTTACTATATGCATATGGTTTTGTTGAATCATCATAACTGAGGAGGAAACTGAGGCAGAAAGATGTTAAGTGAAATCCAAACCTTGCAGCCACAGAGCAACAGACTGGAGTTCAACCCCAGATCTCCCGAACTCCAAAGCCCTTCACCGTTTAGCGTCCCAGGCCATGGAGGGGCTGACTCTGTACCTGGCCCTCAGGGTTTGGTGGCACCCGCCACACTGGCTGCCACCATCCATGCTGCCTGGCTGGTCCCTGGTGTCAGGCTGGGAGCAGCCTCCAGCAGCCATAGGCAGAAATCCTGGGGACAGGCACCTGCACTCTGCCCCCGGCTGCTGCTCTGACATCTCACCTGGGTGCTATGGCCATGCCAAACAGGCCCATGGCCCGACGTTCTGAAACAGATCACCCCATGGCCAGCAGGTCAGGGGGTCCCATATCTTCCTGGCTTCACCTCACCAACCCCCCAGGCAGTGGGGAGTGTGGCCTTGTCCAGAAAGACCCCACCTCAATCAGAGGGATACAACTAGCTTATAAAATGTGTGGGCTTTCTACTTTTGTAGTTGTTGTTTGTTTAGAGATGAGGTCTCACTGTGTTGCCCAGGCTGGTCTGAAACTCCTGGCTTCAAGTGATCCTCCCACCACAGCCTCCCCAAGTGCTGGGATTACGCATGTGAGCCACCATGCCTGGCCAAATTCATGGAGTTCTTTTTCTTTTTATTTATTTAGTTTTTTTTAGACAAGGTCTCTCTCTGTCACCCAAGCTGGAGAGCAGTGGTGCGATCATGGCTCACTGCAGCTTTGATCTCACTGAGCTTAAGCGATCCTCTTACCCCAGCTTCCTGAGTAGCTGGGACTACAGAAGCACACCACCATGTTTAGCTAATTGGTTTTTGTTTTTGTAGAGATGAGGTATTGCTTTGTTGCCCAGGCTGGTCTTGAACCCCTGGGCTCAAGTGATCCTCCTGCCTCAGCCTTCTGAAGTCCTTTGGATTACAGGTATGAGCCACCATGTCCGGCCATTCTATTTTTGTTTTTTGGGTTTTTTTTTTTTTTTTTTTTTTTGAGATGGGATCTCACTCTGTCACTCAGGCTAGAGTGCAGTGGCACAATCTCAGCTCACTGCAACCTCCGCCTCCTGGGTTCAAGTGATTCTCCTGCTTCAGCCTTCTGAGTAGCTGGGACTACAGGCGTGAGCCACTGTGCCTGGCGCCGGCCATTCCCTATTTTTAAGCTACCTCATTTGTAGTATTTTGTTGTAGCAGCATGAATAGACTAAGACAATGCATTCAAGAGCAGATTAAACATAGCTGAGTAGAAAAGTAGTAAACTGGAAGATAGTTCAGAAGAAGATATTCTGAAGTATGGAGTTGCCAAGCGATGGGAACTGCAGAACACAGCGTGAAAACCAGTGGGGCCAGATGCAGTGGCTCACACCTGTAATTCTGTCACTTTGGAAGGCCATGGCGGGCAGATCACCTGAGGTCAGGAGTTCAAAACCAGCCTGCCCAACATGGTGAAATCCCCTCTCTACTAAAAATACGAAAATTAGCCAGGCGTGGTGGTGCACCCTGGTATCCCAGCTACCCAGGAGGCTGAGGCAGGAGAATCGCTTGAACCCGGGAGGCGGAGGTTGCAGTGAGGTGAGATCACGCCATTGTACTTCAGCCTGGGTGACAAAGCAAGACTTCGTCTCCGAAAAACAAAACAAAACCACTTGATGTGCAGTGAGAAAGACTGCAGTTGGATTCCCAGAAGAGAGGAGAGAGGACAGGGTAAAAACATTTGGAAATTGTAGATGATGTCAGACTGTAGATGTAGGAAGTGCTGTGCATCCCAAATAGAGGACCACACCCCAGGGGTCTCCAGGAGACTGAAGGTGGCAGAGGAGCCCCTCATATCTCCCTGGGCGGCGTCCTGGGTCCAGTGCCCTGCATGGCAGGCATAGCTGTGGACACAGGACCAGTGCTAACCTTGGCTGCCGGGGCAGAGCACGTGTGGGCATCACGTCCATATATCCTCCCTGTGTTGTGGCCCTGGGCAGGGTCTCCCGTGTTTTAGATAAGCAAGTGGGGCTCATGCACTGGTTTGGGGGGACTGGTGAGGACGCAGACAGCATGACTCCAGGGACTGTGGTGCCCTTAACCAGGTGTGGGTGTTAGTGGGACACCTGCAGATGTTGGAGTGAGCATGGTGACTGGGGCAGGGTCAGGGGAGGACAGTTGGTCTTTTTGGAGCTCACAGGAGCCCCAGTTGGAAAATGGGGCCCTGGGACGCTGGTATTGTACCCTGCTCCTGGTGGGCTCAGCGGTAACACAGGGCCCAGGCCTGCCGTGCGGCTCAGGCAGCTCAGGAGGCATCTGCCCAGCATCCACAGTAAGAGGGCCCTGGCAGGGCTGCCCTGGGTTCTAGTTACAGAAGCAGCTCTGTGCCTGGTCAGGGGCTGGGATGGGAGCAGACAGATGCCTGGTCGTGGGCGATAGCTCCAGGCAGGAGAGCCCCAGAGGGAGGGCTAAGGGGCTGGGGCTGGGCAGGTGTGAGGGGCTCCAGGCCACACTGCCCAGGGCACAGGGCCCCAGCGTGGAAGGTGTACAACAGAGGGTTCGTGGGAGCCGCCACCTGCAGCCCCCGAAAGGGTGGGGCGTGCCCAGAAGCAGCAGGCAGGTAGTCAGTCACCTGTGCGCGTCCACTCCTTGCAGGACCTCCTCGCTGCGGTGGAACTCAGGCACCAAAGAGCGCATGCTCATCAAGGTCGCTGACCGCGAGCCCAGCTTTCTCGCCGCCCAGGGCAATGGCTACACCCCAGATGGCCCCCCCCGGGGTCCGCTCCCGCAGACCCTCTGGCAGCCAGCACTCGCCCGGCCTGCAGACCTTCGCCCCAGAGGCTGACGGCACCATCTTCTTCCCAGAGAGGAGGCCGTCACCCTTCCTGAAGAGGGCCGAGCTCCCCGGGAGCAGCTCCCCGCTGCTGGCCCAGCCGCGAAAGCCCTCCGGGGATTCGCAGCCCTCCTCCCCGCGCTACGGCTATGAGCCCCCGCTCTACGAGGAGCCCCCAGTGGAGTACCAGGCCCCCATCTATGATGAGCCCCCCATGGACGTGCAGTTCGAGGCAGGCGGGGGCTACCAGGTCGGCTCTCCCCAGCGGTCACCGGGCCGCAAGCCCCGGCCATTCCTTCAGCCCAACAAGCAGGGGCCCCCCTCGCCCTGCCAGCAGCTGGTGCTTACCAAGCAGAAGTGCCCCGAGCGCTTCCTGAGCCTGGAGTACAGCCCCGCGGGCAAGGAGTACGTGCGGCAGCTGGTCTACGTGGAGCAGGCGGGCTCCAGCCCCAAGCTGCGCGCGGGACCACGGCACAAGTTCGCGCCCAACCCCGGCGGCGGCTCCTACTCGCTGCAGCCCAGCCCCTGCCTGCTGAGGGACCAGCGCCTGGGCATCAAGTCCGGAGACTACAGCACGATGGAGGGGCCTGAGCTGCGGCACAGCCAGCCGCCCACGCCGCTGCCACAGGCGCAGGAGGACGCCATGTCCTGGTCCAGCCAGCAGGACACTCTGTCCTCCACAGGCTACTCCCCGGGCACGCGCAAGCGAAAGAGCAGAAAGCCCTCTCTGTGCCAGGCCGCCAGCGCCACCCCCAGTGAGGGCCCCGGGGACTTGCTTGCTGAGCAGCCGCTGGCCGAGGAACAGCCCCCGTGCGGGACCAGCCTCGCCCCGGTGAAGCGAGCGGAAGGTGAGGCCGACGGGGCGCGGGGCGCGGCCGAGCCCTTCCTGGCGCAGGCTCGGCTGGCCTGGGAGGCGCAGCAGGCCCACTTCCACATGAAGCAGAGGAGCAGCTGGGACTCCCAGCAGGACGGCTCTGGCTACGAGAGTGACGGCGCCCTGCCACTGCCCATGCCCGGGCCCGTGGTGCGCGCCTTCAGCGAGGACGAGGCGCTGGCCCAGCAGGAGAACAAGCACTGGAGGAGGGGCACCTTCGAGAAGCTTGGCTTCCCCCAGATCCTGCTGGAGAAGAGCATCTCTGTGCAGACCAACCTGGCCTCACCGGAGCCCTACCTCCACCCCTCACAGGTGAGGGCCTGGCGGGTGGGCTGAGCTGGAGAGCCTGGGGCCAGCCTGGGGTCAGGGTGGGCCCCATGGGCTGGGCACAGGAGACCTGGTGTCAAGGGCGTGCACGCAGCATACAGAGCTCTGAAGCCCCCTGTCTCAGCCTGGGCACTCCAGCAGGCTGTCAGGGTGCAGCCGGAAGTCCACAAGGAGTCCCCTGTGGGGTGTGGGCTTCTGGGGGTGCCCTGGCAGTGCCTTCCTCATTCTCAGGGCACCTGGGAGCAAGAGGCCACACCGTGACTCAAGCCATAGAACAGAGGAGGCCTCAACAGACTGGGAGGGTGGCGGCCACAAGTGCTATGGCCTGGGCTCCTGAGGAGCGGGCAGACGGTGTCAGGGGCTCTGTGGTGGTTCTTAAAGCCAGTCCCCAAGACTCCCTCTGGTAGGAAGAGCTGTTGAGAGGACGGGCGCCCCAGGAATTCTGGGATATTGCACACAGCCCGAGGACTCTGACAGGGTCCCCACCGGGTGGCTGGAGCTGGTGGAGGCCGGATCCCACGGAGGCCATGTGCACTTGTTCTCATCTCCCAACCCTGGCCTTTCACACTGGTCAGCTGCAGACACAGGAAGCCAAGGCAGAGGGCAGGCCTAGCGTCTGAGGGCCAGGGGCAGGAGGAAGAACCCAGGGAGCTTCCTGGGGCGGGGAGGCCTGAAGAGCCTGGGTGGCCTTCATGGCCTCCAGGGTGGAGAGCTCAGGGCAGCTTCCAGTCTGTGCTTTTGTCCACTGCTCAAGATGCAGGAGGACAAGAGGACAGGCAGGAAAGAGGGCAGAGAAGCCTGGGGTGCAGAGCAGGGTCCTCAGAGCAGCAGCCAGAGAGGGGCCTCCTGGAGCTTGGCCTGGGGTGAAGGCTGGAGTAAAGGCCGGGGTCCCAGGAGTGAGGGATTGGGAACCAGATGGCACCTTCACCTGGTGTGAACTGCAGCCTTCCGTGTCTGAATGAGGACACTGACACTTCCTCAGGGGGCAGCAGAATGAGGTCAGCCCCCTGGGGATGCCAGTGGGTGCTCTCCTTCCTCCCACCTCACCCTCAGCCAGGGCATCTGGGTCACCCAACAGCAGTGCTGCTCCGGCCGCCCAGCCTCACCCCAAGAGTGCAGGGCTCTGGTGCCCTGGCCGCCTATGTAGACAAGCAGGGCTCCCCTGGGTCTCCCACCTCGGGCAGCCTTGTGGTGAGCAGACGGCGCCTCTTGCCTGGCTGGCTCTGGTGGGGTCCCGGCTCACACTTCTCGGGGCTGTGGCCCAGTGGGCCCGTCTGCCTGGCCCTCTCCCTCCCCCTAACAGCCCAGCCCCGTTTGTCCTTCTCAGTCTGAGGACCTTGGTGCCTGTGCCCAGTTTGAGAGCAGCCGGCAGAGCCGCAGCGGCATGCCCAGCTCCAGCTGCGTCTTCCCCACCTTCACGCTGCGCAAGCCCTCCTCGGAGACCGACATCGAGAACTGGGCCTCCAAGCACTTCAATAAGCACACGCAGGGCCTCTTCCGGCGGAAGGTGTCCATTGCCAACATGCTGGCCTGGAGCAGCGAGTCCATCAAGAAGCCCATGATCGTGACCAGCGACCGGCACGTGAAGAAGGAGGCCTGTGAGCTCTTCAAGCTGATCCAGATGTACATGGGCGACCGGCGGGCCAAGGCCGACCCGCTACACGTGGCCCTGGAGGTCGCCACCAAGGGCTGGAGCGTGCAGGGCCTGCGGGATGAGCTCTACATCCAGCTGTGCCGGCAGACCACTGAGAACTTCCGCCTGGAGAGCCTGGCCCGTGGCTGGGAGCTCATGGCCATCTGCCTGGCCTTTTTCCCTCCCACTCCCAAGTTCCACTCCTACCTGGAAGGCTACATCTACCGGCACATGGACCCAGTCAATGACACCAAAGGTAAGGTGTTGCTCAGGCTCTGCCATCCGCTCAGGTAAGGGTAGTGGAGAGGGCTCCTGCTGTGCTGGGCAGCACCTGGTGAGTCCCTGGCAGCCCCCAGCACAGGGCTGTGGCTCCACACACATGTGAAACACCACACACCCTGGGCCTCCGCTGGATGTGAGCCTCTTCCTGAAGCCCCACCTATGCACTGAGGTGAAGAGCCGTGGAGCCCTGGCAGACACAAAGCGTGGGGCCTCGACAGCTGCATCCACTCTGCGCCAAGCCCACCATGGCCAGTCCCGCTCCCTGGCAAAGGCAGGCACAAAGAGGCCAAGGGCAGAGCAGCTGTGATCAGGCCCCTGCATGCCTGTTGCACCTGCCTTCTGCCATCCGTGGCCTGGAGGGGTTACTACCCTGGCAAGACCCAGGCTGCCTGTTCCAGGCATGGTCCTGGCAGAAGGCTCCTGTGAGCAGGCAGGACCGCGATCGCGGTGGCTCACACACAGGTCATACAGCACCTGAGCTGTCCCAAAGCTGCCCCATGGGGTTGTAAGTTGGAGCCATCATCACCCTGGTGCCTGCCTGGGGCAACATGGGAGGCCAGAGTGTGCCCAGGGCTCTCCATGGCGATACTTCAGGTGTCCTGGGCCCAGGCCATGGTGCCATCAGCTGGGCAGCCCTGTGTCTGCAGCAAGCCACCCTCTACCCCACATCATGGGTGTCTAGAGGGCACAGCCACAGAACTGATGTCCAGAGATGCACACAGATGCACGCACACATGCACACGAATATGTGGGCACACATGCTCACACATATACAGGCACATGCAAGCATGAACACGTGCACACATGCTTGCATGCATATGCACACACATGAACATGTGCACGCACGTGCATGCACAAACGTGCATACATGCATGCACATGAACACGTGTGCACACAAATGCACACGAACAGGCACACATGCTCATGTACATGTGCACGCACACGTGTATACATGCATGCCCATGAACACATGCACACAGGCACACACATGCACACCCACGTGCACACAGGAATATGAACACACTCATACACGTGCATGAACACATGCATGCACATGAACACATGCATGCATGCACGTGAACACGTGCACACACGCGTGCATGCACACCCACACATGAACATGTGCACACGCTCACACACAAGCACGTGCGTGCACACACATTCACACACGAACATGCACACACATGAATGTGTGCGCGCACACATGAACGTGTGCGCACACACACCCAAAAACGTGCACATGCTCCAAGTGAGACATGCCATACTCTACTCTGTGCCAGTGAGAGCCCACCCTGGTCTGGCCTTTGCCTCTGCAGAGATTGAGCTTCTGATCGGGGCCTTGCTGGTCCTTACCCTAGCACCCCCAGCCCAGGTGAGGAAATCTAATGCTGCTATGGGCACACAGAGGCAGGGTGGGGGCCACAGGGCAATGGGAGGGTCCTGGGGACAGTGTTGGATATAGGCACCACCCAACCTGTCAGCTGTTTGTGGGGAGATTTTGGAAGCCATGTGGTTTCACCTGGCATGGACTTTTCAACACAAGATCACAGTAACGGCAGAGCTTGGCAGGTGGCCCAGGCTCCTGGTGTGTAGAGGACCACAGCAGGGAGCCAGGCAGGCTGGGCTGGACTGTGAACCCCATCCCTGGTCTTGGGCCCTTCAAGAAACAGGTGGAGTCCTAGGGACTGTGTTCCTATTAGCATCATAGCTCACCTCCTCGGCCTCTTCCAAAGGGGCCTGGAAATGTCATGCCTGAGCTGGAAGCTGTGGAGCTGAGCCTCCGCTGCCTAGCCCAGCTTGCAGCCATAGTGGGTACCCAAGAGTAGGCAAGAGAAGGGCCAGGAGACAGATAGCCAGACAAAGGCCTGAGGTTCCTTGGGCCCATCTTGGGCCAGCTGACTAGCCAGTGTGTGGCTGGGGCTTCCTGGGAGTTTGTGCTCCAGGCTGCTGCCCTTCACACACAGGCTGGTGTGCTCCTGTCTTACACCTGCAGGGTCCCAGCCTGCATGGAAAAAGGAATCAGGGTCCAGCCTGGGCGTCCATGGCTTCAGAGCTCTGCCAAGGAAGGCCCATGAGGGCCAAGAGCACTGTACGGGTTGGAGTGACAGTGGGCCTGGGATCTGTGTGGTCCTACTGGCAGGGTGGCCCACATCTAGGCTGTGGTACCATGACCATTCTCACAGCCAGAATGCCATCTCCAGCCCCAAGATCCACTCCTAGATTCGTCTGTCAGGGTCCCTGATTGGCCTGAGCCCAGAAGAGAGGCCTCTATACACAAGGTGGCCATCCCTGCCCAAATGGGCGTCACACCCTCTCCAGCCAGCCTCCCGTCCCTAGGATGTGCCACCTTTCATATGCAGGTGCTGGCTGCTGCTCAGAAAGACAGGCCCAGCCAGGCACAGTGTCTCACACCTGTAATCCCAGCACTTTGGGTTGAGGCAAGAGGATCCCTTCAGCCTGGAGTTTCAGACCAGCCTGGGCAGCAAAGTGAGACCCTGTCTTTTTTTTTTTTTTTTTTTTTTTTTTGAGACCGAGTTTTGCTCTTGTTGCCCAGGCTTGAGTGCAATGACGTGATCTAGGCTCACCGCAGCCTTCAACCTCCCAGGTTCAAGCAATTCTCCTGCCTCAGCCCCCTGAGTAGCTGGGATTGCAGACATGCACCACCACACCCAACTAATTTTGTATTTTTAGTAGAGACAGGGTTTCTCCTTGTTGGTCAGGCTGGTCTTGAACTCCTGACCTCAAGTATCCACCCACCTTGGTGTCCCAAAGTGCTGGGATTACAGGTGTGAGCCACCGCGCCCGGCCGTGAGATTTGTCTTTATGAAGAATTTTAAAAAGGAAATTAGCCGGGTGTGGTGGTGCCTGCTTGTGGTCCCAACTACTTGGGAGGCTGAGACAGGAAGATTGCTTGAGTCCAGGATGTTAAGGCTGCAGTGAACCATGTTGGAGCCACTGCACTCCAGCCTGGGCAACAGAGCAAGACCCCCCCCCCTTTTTTTTTTTGAGACAGAGTCTCGCTCCGTCGCCCATGTTGGAGTGCAGGCTCGGCTCACTGCAACCTCCGTCTCCTGGGTTCAAGTGATTCTCCTGCCTCAGCCTCCTGTGTAGCAGGGACCACAGGCGCGCACCACCACACCTGGCTAATTTTTGTATTTTTAGTAGAGGTGGGGTTTCACCATGTTGTCCAGGCTGGTCAAACTCCTCAGGTGATCCGCCTGCCTCAACCTCCTACAGGCATTAGCCACTATGCCTAGCCAAGACCCTGTCTTTAAAAGCAAGCAAGAAACGCAGACCCTATTAGCCCAGAAGGAGGTAGCTTATGCTCTGGAGGGCCAGCTAGGCTGTGGCACAGTTCTTAGAAAAAGGAAACTAACCTCAGGGCTGGGGCACCTGCCTGGGGACCCTCAGTGAGGGGCAGAGCTGAGCCTGGTGCATCTATCGCCCTGAGCACCTTACCTGCCTTAGCCTCAGGAGCCTTTAATTGGCTCATCTACCAGCATCTGTGTGACCTGCACTGTGTGGCTACCACCCTCAGGGACTGAGGCCCCCCCATGGTGATGTCCCCAGCTTAGCCTTGTGTCATGTGTGGTCACAACTTTCGCACCAGCAGAGGGTCTCCTGGCCGGTCCCTGGGACCCCCCTCAACAAGTTATCAACACAGACATCGAGGCACACTGGCAGTGGGTATGTAGCCTTCAGCTCCCCCACCCTAAGGCTGGAGACCCTTAAAGGTTTAATTTACTGCTCAATTCTTCATGCATTCAGCAAGGCCTCCTGGCTTCCAGCTCAAGATGGCAGATTGAACGTGTGCATTTGCTTCATCTCTGCCTTGAACTCACTAAAATGACAGTGAAGGAATTTTTTAAAGGAAGAAAAAACCCACAAAGGAATGTAAAATGCTACAGCCACTATGGAAACTGGTAGGCAGTTCCTCAAATAATTAAAAATAGAATTCCCATGTCATGTAGCAGTTCCACTTCTGGAATTACCCAAAAGAACTGGAAGCAAGGACTCTAATGGTTACTCTTACGCCCATGTTCACAGCAGCATATTCCTGTAACTAGAAGGTGGAAACAGGCCAAGGATCCATCAGCAGCTGAATGGAGAAACAAAACGTATCCAGCCATGAAGGGGAAAATTATTTCCAGCCTTAAAAGGAAAGGAAATTGGCCAGGCGCAGTAGCTCACACCTGTAATCCCAGCACTTTGGGAGGCCGAGACAGGCGAATCACAAGGTCAGATGGAGATCATCCTGACCAACATGGTGAAACCCCATCTCTACTAAAATACAAAAAAACTAGCCGGGTGTGGTTGTGCACGCCTGTAGTCCCAGCTGCTTAGAAGGCTGAGGCAGGGAATGGCTTGAACCCGGGCAGCAGAGGATGCTGTGAGCTGAGATCATACCACTGCACTACAGCCTTGGGGACAGAGCAAGACTCATCTCAATAAAAAGGAAGGAAATTTTGACATGCATATGGATGAACCTTGAGGACATCATGCTAAAGGCAGGAAGCCAGTCACAGGACAAAGATTATATGATTCCACTTCTGTGAAGTCCCTAGAGTAGTCACATTCCTAGAGCCAGAAGGTAGAATGGTGGGTGCCAAGGGCTGGTGGGGAGAAGTGGGGATGAGTGTTTAATGGGGACAGAGGTTTACTTTGGGAAGATGAAAAAGTTCTGGAAGTGGACATTGGTGATGGGTGTACAACCGTGTAAATGTACTTACTGCCACAGAACTGTATATTTTAAAATGGTTAAAGTGGTAAATTTTATGTTACATGTATTTTACCACAACTTTAAAAACGCACAAAGAAAAAGAAAATGGAAAAGGAAGAAGCTGGAGCACGTGGACCAAGAACAGTGAATCCTGGGCAGATGGTGGAAAAATGAAGACCTAAAGCAGATAGCAAACCCATAGAAGCTCAAAAGTGGGTAGAGCCAGATTCCTCTAGCAAAGGGGGAAGAGGGTGACCCTGAAGCTCAAAACAAAAGGATTGGTTAAAACTCTGCTTAAGGCTGGGCGCGGTGGCTCAAGTCTGTAATCCCAGCACTTTGGGAGGCCGAGGCGGGTGGATCACGAGGTCAAGAGATCGAGACCATCCTGGTCAACATGGTGAAACCCCGTCTCTACTAAAAATGTCTCTACTAAAAATACAAAAAATTAGCTGGGCATGGTGGTGCGTGCCTGTAATCCCAGCTACTCAGGAGGCTGAGGCAGGAGAATTGCCTGAACCCAGGAGGCGGAGGTTGCGGTGAGCCGAGATCGCGCCATTGCACTCCAGCCTGGGTAACAAGAGTGAAACTCCGTCTCAAAAAAAAAAAAAAAAAAAAAAAAACTCTGCTTAAGAAGCAAAGCAGTCTGGGTGCAGTGGCTCACACCTGTAATCCCAACACTTTGGGAGGCTGAAGCAGGTGGATCACTTGAGTCCAAGAGTTCAAGACCAGCCTGGCCAACATGATGAAACTCTTGTCTCTACTAAAAAAAAAAAACACAAATTAGCCAGACATGGTGGCGTGCACCTGCAGTCCCAGGTACTCAGAAGGCTGAGGTGGGAAAATCACTTGAACCCAGGAAGCAGAGGTTGCAGTGAGGCAAGATCATGCCACTGCACTCCAACCTGGGTGACAAAGCAAGAGTTCATTTCAAATAAATAAATAAATAAACGATTTCTTTTTTTTTTTTTCCCCAGACAGGGCCTCACTGTATGCGCAGGGGACTGCAGTGGTGCCTTCACTGCTTACTGCAGCCTCTACCTCCCAGGCTTATGGGATCCTCCCACCTTAGCCTCCCAAGTAGCTGGGACCACAGGCACTGCCCAGCCCAGCTAATTTTTTTCTTATTTTTTGTAGAAATAGGGTTTCACTGTGTTGGCTGGGCTGATCTGAAACTCCTAGGCTCACCCACCTTAGCCTCCCAAAGTGCTGGGATCACATGTGTAAGCCACCAAGCCTTAGTATATATGTCTATATACTAGCAACAAACTATTAGAAACTGGTATTTTAAAATGTCATTTGCAATTGCATGTATTTATTTATTTAGAGACAGGGTCTCAGGGTGGAGTACGATCACATTTATTTTCTATTTTTATTTATTTATTTTTTATTTTTTTCATATATTTTTAATCACATTTAGTTACTTTGAGACTCTGTTGCCCAGGGTGGTGTGCAGTGGTATGGTAGCTTACTGTAGCCTCCAGCCCTTGGGCTCAAGCTACGATCCTCTTGCCTCAACTTCTCTGCCTGCCTGCAGTAGCATTTTAAAATGTGACACACTTAGAGATGGATCTGACAAAGGACATGTAAGGCCCCTGAAGTAAAAACTGTAAACGATTCCTGAAATTAAAGCGGGTCTCAGTGGAGGAAGAGGCTTGCTCTGCTTATGAATCGGAAGACTCAGTCCTGTTAGGCTGTGAGTTCTACCCACATCCATCCAGAGATTAATTCGGAATGCAAATTTTACTACATTTCTTTATTTTAGAAATTGACAGGCTGATTTTAGAATTCATAGGAATTGCAAAGAACCTAGAATAGCCAAAACCTCTTTGAAAAAATTCAAAGTTGGAAGACTTACTCCACCTGACTTGTTATAAAGCTAGACTCATCAAGAGTGTGGCACTGGCTTCAAGGTAGACAGGTCAGTGCAACAGAATAGCGAGTTCAGAAACAGACCCATGTATGCATGGGTCAGCTTTCCACAGTGCTGCGAAGGCCACTTAGTGAAAAAAGGATAGTCATTTCCTTCTTAGGGGCTAGGAAAACTGGATATGCAATTGCAAACAAAAGATGAATTTAAATGCATATTTTGGAGTGTACACAAAAAATAACTGCAAGTGGATCACACGTAAACCAAGACATAAAACCTAAAACTATAAAACTTCTAGAACAAAACAGGAGAAAATGCTTGCTTTCCTGAGTGAGGCAAAGATTTTTATATGTAATTCCAAAGTACTATCTATAAAAGAAAAACATTGACAAATTGGACTTCATCAAAATTAAGTCTCCTACAAAAGACTGTTAAAAGAATAAGAAGATACACCAATTACAGACACGCAGAAGGAGGAAGGCTGGGTGACAAGCGGCAGTAGTGGAATAGTTAGAGGCCATGTTCAGCTGATACGGAGACCGATGGTCACAAACAGGAATAGCTACAGATGTGCGTGTGAACAGGAGCTCATGTGCACACAGGTGTGTCCTCACTGTCAGCTGAGGGCCTGCAAACATTTCCCAGCAGCGGAAACCACATCTCACCCCCAGATCCTGGTTTCTCAATACCATTTTCCATTATAAGGATTCAGGGCCGAGGCGGGTGGATCAAAAGGTCAGGAGATCAAGACCATCCTGGCCAGCATGGTGAAACCACCTCTCTACTAAAATACAAAAAATTAGCTAGGTGTGGTGGCATGCACCTATAGTCCCAGCTACTCAGGAGGCTGAGGCAGGGGAATCACTTGAACTCAGGAGGCAGAGGCTGCAGTGAGCCGAGATTGCACTGCAGCTCTCCAGCTTAGCCACAGAGCACGACTCCATCTCAAAAAGAAAAAAAAAAAAGCATTCAGCATTCAGAGTTCCTTGTAGAAACGGGCGATTCTAGGGCTAGCGCAGGTCATATACAAGATGTCAGAAGTGAGGAAGTGCCAGAGGTGGGGTGATGTCTGTCACAGGGACAACGGAGCTGGTGGAATGAGCTCCCAGTGGCCAAAGCTGGAGCAACAAGATAAAGACCCACTGGATAATAACCCATAAGTGGGCCGGACACAGTGGCTTATGCCTGTAACCCCAGCACTTCGGGAGGCCGAGGTGGGTAGATCATTTGAGATCAAGATTTCAAGATCCACCTGGCCAACAGGGTGAAACCCTGACTCTACCAAAAATACAAAAATTAGTCGGACATGGTGGTGCATGCCTGTAATTCCAACTACTCAGGAGGCTGAGGTGGGAGTTTCCTTAACCCAGAGGGTGGAGGTTGCAGTGAGCCGAGATTGAGCCCCTCCAGCCTGAGCGACACAGTGAGATCCTATCTCAAAAAAAAAATCTCTAAGTCTACACTGATACAAATTAATGATTCAATAGATAGGAATAGACAAATCTGTGCGGAATAATTACAGATAATTGATGTAGATGTCCACCGTCCAGGAGCTGGAGCCTAACCCCACCCCTCAGTTGTGGGCCGGGCACAGTGGCAACTCCTACAGAGTGTGGCACAGAGCAGGAAGAGACGGTGCCTCACACAAGCCTGCCAGCCTCGGCCGCAGCCAGGTCACCACGGCCCATGGCAACAGTGCAGAGCTGTGCTGTCCAGACAGGGAGCAGGTCCAGGTCAGCCTCAGGGGAGCCCCCTCCTCTCTGACTGCAGTGCCTGGCTTGGGGCCAGCTGCCTTGGCCCACTTGTTTCTGTTGGTTTTTTGACCAGCAGGCAGGGAGTCCAGGCTCACCACCGCCCCAGCCTTGCCACCAGCCAGAGGGCAGGAGCTGCCCGCTCCCCTCCTGCTGCCTGGGTGCCTTCCCTGCACCTCCGCTTGCCCCAGCATGGGCACAGCAGCTTCCTGGCCCACACAGTGCTCGGAAGGGCCCCTGTCACCTCTCTCACTCACACACACAGCCAGGTCCCCCCAGACGTGCCCCGCCCCCACCTGAACAGGGTGAGCCCCCAACAGGCCCAGGGGCCTCCTCACCAAGTGCGGGAGCTGAGTGGGCATTGGCTCCTGGCGTTGTGTTCTGTGGTCCTCATGGTTCTCTTTGCTCCCCAGTGACACAGCACATAAAAGAGCTTCTGGAAAGAAACACTAAGAAGAAGTCCAAATTGAGAAAGAAACCCAAGCCTTATGTTGAAGAGCCGGATGGTAGGGCCTCTCCCGGCAGCCCCTGGGCGCTGCATCTGCAAGCTCTGCTCTCCAGCCTCGGCCGCCTGGCCTTCTCTTCTCTAACCGCTTCTGGGCAGGGGGGATGGGGCCACTAACCTCAGGCCTGTGGCCTCCTGAGCGAGGTGGAGGGCCCAGGTGACTGACTGGACCCCTAAAGAGGCCAAGCCTGTCCGCACCTGTCGTGGTGGTTCCCGGAGCCATTTCCAACTTGCTTGCTGGGTTCTTGATGGGGCGGGGGGCGGTGAGGACTTGCCAGCTGAGGGCTACTGGAGGCGCCCCCAGGTGAGTGAGTGGCCCTGACCCCAAGAGTGAAATTTGCAGGTGGAGGGGTGTGTGGTGCCCTGCAGACAAGCACCCCTCAGCCCTGTCTTTCAGCCCACGGCTGGCCCTGAGCCACAAGAGCCAAGCCTGGCATTCAGAATCAGCAAGGAATTGTCCCTCCCTTTGATGGTGTGCCCCCAGCACAGCCCCCGGAAGCCAAGGGAGGGCTTTCCCACCCTCCCCACCAGCAGCTTTCCCATGCACTCTCTCACCCAGCTCTCACCTCTCCACCCTGCCCCCCAAGTCCCTGGCTTAGGAAAGCCTTGTGAACCCAGGGCTGTGCCCTCCTTTTTGAGAGGTGTGCCTTTTTTTTTTTTTGAGACAGAATCTCGCTCTGTAGCCTAGGCTGGAGTACAGTGGTGCGATCTTGGCTCACTGCAACCTCCGCCTCCCAGTTCAAGCAGTCCTGCCTCAGCCTCCCAAGTAGCTGTGATTACAGGTGTGCGCCACCACGCCCAGCTAATTTTTGTATTTTTAGTAGAGACGGGGTTTCACCATGTTGGCCAGGCGGGTCTTGAACTCCTGACCTTGTGATCTGCCCCCCTCGGCCTCTCAAAGTGCTGGGATTACAGGTGTGAGCCACCGCACCAGGCCGAGATGTGCTATCTTACCAAGTCAGCTACACACACATGTACACACGCGCACACAGGCTTCTGGGACCATCCTGCCCACTCCTGCAGTGGTTTGGTCCTGCCACACTGTGCGTCACCCACTCATCTGTCCAGAACCCTGACACCCACCTCTCTGCTCCACTGCACTTCCTTTGAGACCACTTGGCTTAGGCACCCCTCCCTCCAGGATGCCATCTCTGACTTTACGCTGCCCATGCAGACCTAGAACAAAGCTAGTGAGCTTTCTGTGGATGAGGTTTGCTTAGGGAAGACTTCAGGGCCAGCAGGAGGCTACAGGGGCATGAAGGGCCCTCATGGGGAATGCTGGGATGGCATCTGCCGGGCTGGAGACTTGTCCTCACCCTGGTGCCGCCAAGGCTGCCACCAGCAGGTCTGTGCCAGGAGCCCCTGATCCAATCGAAGGTCAACAGCCTGGCGTCACCCAGGACCCTGGGAGAAGAGAGCCAGTCGCAATCTAGGGGTGGGATTCCTGGCCACAGAGGTCATCAGACCACTCCATCTTGGGCAATGTAGAAGGAGCTCTGCGCTCCCGCCTGAGCTGGCGTCCGGTGGCCTGAGAGCTGACCGACACCACTGGCCGTAAGAGTCTCCTGGCTGTAGCCAGGCAGAGCGGGGAGCAGACGACCCTGTGCCTGGAGTGGAGCCTAGTGCGACATTGCAGCCCAAGGATATCAGGTGGGGAGTAGGGTCAACACCAGGAGGCCCTGGCCCCCAGCAGAGCATCACGTACCATAGGAGAGCTGCTGTTGGCCCTTCTGTGGGCAGCCATTGCACCTGGGCTTGCCTGCAGCCAGAGGGGGTTGGAGATGAGGGCTGAGGTCCAGGCAAAGCCAGATCAGGGTAGTGGGCTCAGAGCAAAGCACACCACAAGGTGAGGGTCTTTCTGGGCTGGATGGGCACTGCCCACTCTTCCGCCACAGGTCAGCAGACATCTTGGTGCCTGGCCCTGTGCCTGATGCAGTGTGAGTAGGAGTCATCCTAGCATCCTAGACCTTGAGGCACAGGCAGCCTGACCCCCAGAGTGAAGTTTGCAGGTTGAGGAGTAAGGCCCCAGTCCCTGGCCTACCCACTACGGTCATGACACCAGCAGCTGCATGCTAAGCACTGCATGAGACAGGCGTTGTCATGGTCCCATCCTACAGAGGAGTAAACTGAGGCACAGAGAGACTGCATCATGCCCTCCATCACCAGCTAAGAGATGGTGGCCCCAGGGTATCCCAGTCAGAGTGCTGGAGGGTGTACTAGTCCCAAGCAGGCTCAGGCCCGGGTATTTGTCCCACCAGGGGACTGGGGACAGCAAGCAGGAGGCCTGGCCCTGCCATCTGCCCCAGACCCCCACTGCCTAGTGGCTGCATGTCCCAGCTGCTGAGCCGAGGCCCTGGGTTTCTGCCGCCTTCCTGGAAAGCTTACTTCCTCCTGCCTTCTTGGAGCTCTGAAGACTGGGTGCAGTGTGTGTGGGCACCATCCATTCTAGAAAAACAAGGGTACCTCATAGCCTGCTCAAAAGTCCAAGAGGGGCCCTTGGCAGAAGGTTCCATGCTGGAGGCTGGGGCCAGATCCTCTGCAAGGACCCTGTTGTCCCAAGGACTGTGGCAGAATTTCTAGGACCTAAACATCTATGAAAAAATATTTTTCCTTCTGGTTACTCTAAAAAAGAATCTCCTTAGCAATTACGTCAACTGTTTTGTGATAATTAGAGATGAAAAGGCATTCATGGACTCAAGGCATGTCTGTGTTTTTGAACCTGGGTTCAAGGACCCTATGTCCTCAGCTGTCCACCAGAAACTGCTCCTTCAAATAAGACAAAGGCATTCCAATCGGGGGTCAGGATCCAGAGGCCCCCCTTACCCTGGCAGGTGGTAGGCGCTAGGCGCTGGGGCAGCTCCCATGTCTGGAAGCACAGGGTCCTATCGGAGGCCCATGGCTCCCCTGGCCCAGGACGGCTTCTCGGTGTGTTCTCTCATCTGCTGCTTCCCCACCTGGAGCGGGAGGGTGCTGCGCCTTCCAGACCCAGCCTGGGAATCCTCTCCCCTCTACACCTTACCCTGGGCCCTGTGTCTGGAGACTCCAGGCTGAGGTCCCCAGTCCCTGCCCAGGTGCTGACTTAGGCACACTGCCCCTCCCCTCAAGGACCATCAGCGGTGTCCCTGCTGTCAGGGGCTGAGTTTTAAAAGCCCCTCCCTTGAGAAATGAGACTGGGCCCTTTCATTGCCGCCTCAGTCCTTCGGAAGAGCCCAAAGGTGGTGTTTAAGGCCCAGGGCTGCAGCAGAGCTGGGCTTGCTGTTCAAATAGCCCAGCGCCTGCCTCCGCCAGCACTGGCCCCAGGTGCTAGGTAGGTGGAAATGACTCCTCCAGGGGCTCCTGCCCACAGCCGCAAAGCCAGGGAGGGGCCTGAAGCAGAGAAGAGCCAAATACCTGGACAGCCCCCTGGGTCAGGCCCAGGGAGAGAGGAGTGGGGTCTAGAGGCCCTCAGACCCTGGTCCTGCCCTTCCTGTTCCTGCGTGGCCATGGGAGGGGTGGGTGGGCTGCCAGTGCGGTTCCTCCCCAGACTGTCCATCTGGAGGTGGGGAAGCGCCCCTTGGGTCTCTGCTCTAAAGGACACTGCCTGGGAGAGCATGAGGACCTGCTGCAGTAGGCAGGGGGTGGCCAGGCCAGCCCAGCGCAGCCCCCAGGGCCCTTGAAGAGGCTGTGTCTATTCGCTCCTCTCCCGGCCCCATGCTCACACCTCTCCCGGCCCCATGCTCACACATCCACACCAGGCTGATCGGGCCCCATTCCTTTCCAGGGGTGGCGATAAGCACATATGCCAAGTACTGTTACCACAAGCTGCAGAAGGCAGCCCTCACCGGGGCCAAGAAGGTACGAGTGCACTGGGAGACCGGGATGGGCAGTTGTGGACACAGGGACCCTTGGTGAACAGCCTGGGGCCTAGCCTGCAGTTTGGTGTGGAGCAGCAGTCCAGAGGGTGCCACACAGAGCCCACCTAGGCGGGTGGAGGGGTGTGCCAGGCAGACCCTGGGCTGCACCCTCCCCCGGGGGCTCTTCCCCAGGCCCAGACCCCCAGCTTAGGAGCAGGGCAGGCAAAGGGCTTCAGTCACATGGCATGACAGTACCATCCTGTCCTCCCAAGCCTGGCACAGCGCCTATACCCGGGAAGTCCCTCAGGCACCCCTGGACGTGTCCAAGATCCTGGCCCTCTTCCCTGATGCACTGCTCCCATCACACTGGGGGTCTCAGCCCTGCCACAGGCTTCTGGACGTTTCACCCCAGATCAGTAGGCTTGGACCCTGCTGTGCTCCCCAACAGCCCTGGCTGGCCCAGAAGTCACTCCCACCTTCCCAAGGGATTACGAGAGCTGATGCTGTAGGCGGTGACTCTGGCCAGGGAGCTGGGCTTGCCCTGGTCTAGTTGGAGCCAGGAGTTCACAGGGATGAGAGGAGTGGGAGGCAGAGCCAGGGGCAGCCCAGGAGGAGTTAGGGTTTGGGGAACGAGGAGGGCTGGGAGCAGGGTGGCCAGACCAGGACGGAGCCACTATCTTCACAGGGGCTAAAGAAGCCCAACGTGGAGGAGATCCGGCATGCCAAGAACGCCGTGTTCAGCCCATCCATGTTTGGCAGTGCGCTGCAGGAGGTCATGGGCATGCAGCGGGAGCGCTACCCCGAGCGCCAGCTGCCCTGGGTGCAGACGCGGCTCTCTGAGGAGGTGCTGGCACTCAACGGTGACCAGACAGAGGGCATCTTCAGGTGCTGTGGCAACCCCGGGTGCCGGGTGTAGGGGCCACAGCCCTGTGTCATCCATACATCTCTGGCATGCAGGGGACATTAAGCATCAGGACCACTGGGCTGTTTCTGCACCCCTACCTGAGAGTAGGTGGTAGGGTGGGGCCCCAGTGTGGAAGCTGACCCCGAGGGTGTGCAGGCCCAGAGAGAGAAGGCAGGACCCATTCTGAAGAGGCAGCACAGCCAGCGAGGGAGGGTGCCCCTGCAGATATGGCCACAAGGGGTTTAGAGCGTGCTTGGACACCAGCCATGGGCAGCCTGGAGGTGTCAGCCTCAGAGATGACAGGCAGCCCCCCCGACTCACCAGAGGGGCAGCTGGGGAAACTGAGGCTTGCAGGTTTGAGCCCCAGTGGTCCTTTGGAGAAAGCATCCACACAGGGAGCCAGCAGCGGTCCAGAGAGGGATAGTGGACGTGGGGAAGCCACACTCAGACCCAGGTGTGTGGGGCAGAATCCTGAAGACTGCCACCTACCCATCTTCACGGGAAAGAGGCCTGGGGGGGGGGGTGGCAGGGGACCTGAGGTTCTGCTCCCTCACCCCGGGTCAGCAGGGGCCAGCAGGATCGAGTGTCCAGGCAGAATCGGGAAGCCCTGGTGCAGGCTCCTGTAACCTGAGACCTGTCTTGTGCCCTGCAGGGTCCCGGGGGACATTGATGAGGTGAATGCCCTGAAGCTGCAGGTGGACCAGTGGAAGGTGCCCACAGGCCTGGAAGACCCCCACGTCCCTGGTGAGTCCTTGGCATGCTCTGGAGGGGAGGAGCCTAGCTCAGGCAGTGGTTCTCAAGGGGCCCCTGTCTCCACCTCTGGGGCCCACCCTGATCATGCCCCCTGCCCAATGACACGATGGCTTCCCAGCCCACTCCCAGCACAGACATCCTCCTGCCCATTGAACAGTCTCCCCAGGTGTCTTCGAGGCACCCCGAGTTCTGCCTGTACACTGCAGCCCAGCCCACTCCCAGCCTGCTGCTCTCTGCCCCGGTGCCCTTCAGCCATGCCTGCTGTGCAGACACCTCTCACGGCAGCTGCAGAGGCTCCTCCTGAGAAAAGTCCTGTTTTGCACGTTTCTGCGGGTATGATCCCCCATGCCTCCAGGATCAAGTTCAGGCCCCTAGGAGCTGAAAGGCCCCCTGGGGTCCGGGTCCAGCCTGTCACCCACAGCACCCTTCCATGCGTGACTGCCACTGGACCCCACATGGCCCAGGGGTGCCCGCCGAGCAGGCCAGCTGAGCCCCGTGCTGTGTCCCCAGCGTCCCTGCTGAAGCTGTGGTACCGGGAGCTGGAGGAGCCCCTGATCCCGCACGAGTTCTACGAGCAGTGCATTGCGCATTACGACAGCCCCGAGGCGGCGGTGGCCGTGGTGCACGCCCTGCCCCGCATCAACCGCATGGTGCTCTGCTACCTCATCCGCTTCCTGCAGGTACGCGGGCGGGCCGCCGGGCTTCCCTCCCCCGGTCCCCGCTGCTTGCCCCGCCCCGCCCCCCGCGCCCATCATCGCTCCTCCGCCAGGTGTTCGTGCAGCCGGCCAACGTGGCGGTCACCAAGATGGATGTGAGCAACCTGGCCATGGTGATGGCGCCCAACTGCCTTCGCTGCCAGTCCGACGACCCGCGCGTCATCTTCGAGAACACCCGCAAGGAGATGTCCTTCCTGCGCGTGCTCATCCAGCACCTGGACACCAGCTTCATGGAGGGCGTGCTGTAGCGGGGGAGCCCGGGGATGGGACCGGCCTCAGCCAGGCCGAACCCCGCACTGGCTCTCTCAGCAGAGGGACCCAAATCGCCCGGCCCAGCACCGGAGCCCCCCTCCCCTCTTCCCCAGGCCCTCGGCCCGGCCCTCCCCAGGTCTTTTGCCTGATCTGAGGGTGCAGCCAGGGCAGAGCAGCGACGGGGAGGGCGCCTCTGGCCCCCCACCTCACGGCCAGCTCCCGCGGGTACCGCCTCGCCCTCCGCTGGCCGCGGGTCAGCTCCGAGAAAGTGCCTTCTGTGTCCTGGAGCCGAGCGACACTGCCCGCCTTGGGGCCGGGCTGCCTCCCGCGCGCCCTGGCCTGGGCCTCGCCCGCCTCGCCCGTCTCTCCTTCCCTTTCTCCAGTCGTTGTCCTGCAGGCCTGCAGCTCTTCCCAGCCCCGAGGGAGCTTCCCGACCTGTCCCCGCCTCCTCTTTCCCCCGCTCGGCCTGCGGTCCCCAGCTGGGGACTGCTCAGGAGTTTGGGGCCTCCAGGGCAGTGGGCCCAGGGCCTGGCAGGCGCTGTGTGGGTGGGGTGGGGCCCCCAAACCAAAGTCGTCTGGGGTAGGGGGCAGGGCTGGGCAAGCATTCTAGGGGCAGGCGGGGGAGGGGCGAGAGTATTTTTTCTTCGTGTAACTATAAATCCAGAATCTATCCTGCATCGCAGCCCACCTGTGTATAGAGATATAAATAGAGGGAAAGATATAAGAACTAAATTTGCTAATGACATAGTTTTAACCTAAATGCTATTTATCTCTGAGCCGCCCCCGTCCTCCGTGCAGAGCAAGTTGCTGTCATTCCTTCTTTTCTTCTCCAATCTTTTTTCTTGGCTTCTGACCAAAAACCAAGCCTACCCCACCCCATCCCAGACCCGCGGCAGACAAGCGGGAAGGCGCCGCGCCCAGGACTGCATGTCCTCAAGGCCAGAGCTGCTGGGGGACCGAGTTTGTACATTTTCCATTTTGGAATTTTGAGTTCCAACTGTTGTAAAACTTAATTTCTCCCCGGTTTTTATATATCTATTTTTTAGAGTTCGTTTTTATTTATTAAAAACAAAAGGCCCAGCCCTGCCGAGGCCCAGGCGGCGTCCTCAGTCGGGTGGTCTCCGGGCCGTCGCGGCCCAGCCCGGCCGCAGGCGCTCGTTCCGACAGGCGGCGACACGCGTGAATAAAGTGCACGTGGACCCTGCGCCGCCTCCAGTTCCTTGTGGGCGCGGCCGGGGGTGGGGCGGGGCGGGGCGCGGCCGGGGGTGGGGCGGGGCGGGGCGCGGCCGGGGGCGGGGCGGGGCCTCCGTGGGGCAGGAAGAGGCGCGGGGCGACCAGAAGGGGCCGCCCCGCCCGGAAGGCCAGAGGGAGAGGGGAGAGGGAAGAGCGCCGGGCCGGGTCGGGGAGGCGGGCGCCGCCGGAACGCGAAGCGCGGGACCCCTGCTGCGGGAGGGCGCGAGTTCGCGGTGCACCGCCCCCAGCGTGACCTGCTGGCCGCTTCCGGCGCGGAAGGACAATGTGGCCGCCGTGCGGGGCGCTGCGGGTCCTGGCCTTGGCGCGGTCGCGGGGTGCCCGAGCCTGCAGCGTGGACGGGGGTGTTTCTTACACGCAGGGCCAGAGTCCCGAGCCCCGGACCCGCGAGTATTTCTACTACGTGGACCACCAGGGCCAGGTGGGCGGGCGCGGGGCCCCAGGCGGGGGTCCCTGTGGGCGGGGCCGTTGCTCGAGGGGCAGGGCCGGGAGTGCTCCCTGTGGGCGGGGCCGGAGAGGTCGCACGTAGATGGGCGGGACCTGGGCGGTGGGCGACCCTAATGCGGCAGAGCTGGAGCGGCGCGCGCTAGAAAGACCGGATCCTGGGTCGATCTGGGCCGAGGCTCCTACACGGGCCGCGTCCCTGCTGCGCTGTGCAGCTCTGGACTCTGACTCGCAAGCCCCCACCCCCAGCGCTGAATTCTTGCCGCTATCCGGTAGACACCCGGGCCGCCCCTCCTTTTTTGGAAGCCCTGTGTAAGGCATCCGGCATGTCCGGCAGTCAGCAGGCCAGGCAGCCTCCGCGGAGGTGACACAACTGATTACAAACTTGAGAAGAGGGAAAAGGTGCGAGAAAGACTTGCCTGACCAGGGAGCAGAGGTGCGCATAGATGCGGAGAAGTCGGCAGGGCCCCCAAGTTTACCTTCCACGCGCCTCCCTGCACGCGGTGTGCTCAGACTAGCAGGCAAAGTGGGCTTGGGCCGGCTCAGGACGGCCCGAGCTTCCCCGCCCCACCTGCCAGCTGGGACTCATCACGGCCCGGCCCTCTGTCCGCAGCTTTTCCTGGATGATTCCAAAATGAAGAATTTCATCACCTGCTTCAAAGGTACCGCTGTGCCGCCCTCCCCTGCCCCTTCTTTCTCCCTTCAGGGGAGCTCCGGATGGGCTCACCCGACTCTGCCGATGGGCCCAGCGCGCCAAGGAGTGAGCGTCTGCCCTCAGTGTGGTCCTGGGCCCGGAAGCCTTGGGAGCCCAGCGCGCTAAGCAGCCGTTCCCTTCATCCCCCAGACCCGCAGTTCCTGGTCACCTTCTTTTCCCGCCTGAGACCCAACCGCAGCGGGCGCTACGAGGCCTCCTTCCCCTTCCTCTCGCCCTGCGGCAGGGAGCGCAACTTCCTGCGCTGCGAGGACCGGCCGGTGGTCTTCACGCACCTGCTGACCGTGGGTCACGGGCCCCCGCGCCTCTCCTACTGCGGCGGAGGCGAGGCCCTGACTGTGCCCTTCGAGCCTGCGCGCCTGCTGCCCCTGGCCGCCAACGGGCGCCTGTACCACCCGGCACCGGAGCGAGCGGGCGGCGTGGGCCTGGTGCGCTCCACCCTGGCCTTCGAGCTCAGCGCCTGCTTCGAGTACGGGCCCGGCGCGCCCGCGCTGCCCTCGCACGTGCTCTGGCAGGGCCGCCGCCTCGCCCTCACCATGGATCTGGCCCCGCTGCTGCTCGCGGCTCGGCCGCCCTGAGCAGGGGCGGAAGAAGGACGGGAGGCCGCGGGCGCCCCTCACCCTACTCCCCCGGGAGCCCGCGCCCCGGAAAGCCGGCGCCACTGGCACTCGCGGCAGCCTAGTGCGCCTGCGTGCCGCGCCCACCCCCGCCCCGGCTCTGTCCTTGGTGCTGCCGCGGCCCGGCCGTCCCGGACCCTCTGCTCCCCACGGCGCGCGCCCCCCGCGCACCAAGCTCGGGCGCCCGCTGGATTGGCTCACGCTAGAGACGTCAGGCCCTGGCGGCGGGCGCGGTTGGCGCGGGGCTCTGACACGCGTGCGCGAGCGTCCCCCGCCCCCTCCCAGCCCGGCTGCTGCTCCGGCCCGGCAGCCACCTGCACCGCGGGGGAGCCGCTCGGCGCGGGAGCGTCAGGTGAGGGGACGCCAGACCCAAGGTCACCAGGCGTGCGGGGGGAGGGGTTCGGGGACCATCCCGGCTTTGATCCTGGTGCGCTTCCAGAAGGGCGTGAGTCCTGGAGGGGGATGGGGAACGCGGAGGCCACGCCCTCCCTGAACCTGGCCGAAAAACGACCGGCGCTCAGGGGTAGCAGAGGAGGCCGTGGGGCTTCCAGGCACCAGGTCGCAGCGCTGCAGAGGTGCGCAAGGGCCGCCCAGAGACCCTGGCTTGGGCCTTGCACTGGCCGGAGGGAGGCACAGGGCGTTCCATCCTCTTCTCTCCACCCCTCCCGCACTGAGGGGCGCCCAGGAGGCAGTGACAGTCGTCGCGGAATCCTGCATGTGACGCCCGCCCCTGCCCAAAGGATTAGGGGGTTGTCCTCTGGTAAAAGGATTTCTGGGCTTCTTCCAGCCTGGGGCCCTGGCCGGCCCTTCTACACCGAGCTGCATCTAGGGGGGTCAGCGTGAGCAGCAGCGCCCTGAGTTCCGAGGAGGCTGCTTCTCCACTTGAGATGCCTTCTTGCTGGAGGCTGGCTGGGCCAGGCCTGGAGCCCTGTGCCAGTCCTCTTTATCCAGGGAAATGGATCTCAAGGGCCCAGATAATGTCCCCAACTTCTTGGGGCTCACACACATCCTGAGACATCTGGGAACTGCCTCTGCCTGGGCCAAAGCTATTCCATTAAAACTTTATTGCTGTGCTTACTGATCTCTAGTGACTTTAAATAATCATGTGAGTTACAATTTAGGGCAAGAATTAAACACGAAGTCTACTTGGTCCCTTTCCACATGACTGGGCAAGGAGGAAGAGCTGGTGGACAGGCAGATGTTCAGAGAGGGAGGCCAGATGACGCTGGGAGACGCTACAGCCTTGTCTTCCCTGGCGTCGGGTGGGCTGGCATCTCAGCCCAGATCCCTACTTTTAAAACTGGGCTCTTTGTGTCTGAAACCAGACCCCAGCCTTCCCATTTCTTTAGGACAAGTGCACGGATATGGTCCCCAGCATACTCCATGTTTCTTCCTGATCTCAGGCTCATAGCTCCTCTGAGGCCAGCTTTTCCCCAGGGGCCCCCATCAAGTCATGACAGATGAACCCCAGGGTGGGAGGCAGAGCATGAGTTCCAGGGAAAAAAGGACATGGCTTAAGGTCAAGTGTGCCTCTGGACTTTGTCTTGGGGGCACAAAGGGACCTCTGCTCTGAGCCTCAGGAGGTCGCATGCCAGCCCCCCCAGGAAAACAAGGGGGCGTGTCTGCCCCGGGCCTGCTCTCCCCCTCCTAGCCATGCTTGAGCAATGGGGCCCTTGGTTTTGTCAACTAAGCAAAGTTCCCAAACCCATACCCTGTACTTCCAGCTTCTTGCACCCTAGAACCAAGCAGCAGCCACTTGCCTGGGGGGGTAGAGTCAGGGGCAGCAAGGGCCGAGCATCCACGTCCTGAACAGGAAGTTCCTGACTTCCTGGGCATGGGTGGAGTAGGAATAGAAGGGGACGGGGCTGGGTGGCTCTCCCTACATGGCCACATCCTGTGAAGAGACTAAGGACACGAGGAATTCTAAATTTGAACCTGATGCCCCAGATCTTTAAGAAAATGTTTTTGTCAAGGGAAGAAACGACGTTTTATTAGATTCTTGAACCGATTTATAGCTTCAAAGTTAGCCCCCGCTGGGTGCGGTGGCGCACGCCTGTAATCCCAGCACTTTAGGAGGCCGAGGCGGGCGGATCACGAGGTAAAAAGATCAACAGCATCCAACATGGTGAAACCCCGTCTCTACTAAAAACACAAAAATGAGCTGGGCGTGCTGGCGGGCGCCTGTTGTCCCAGCTATTCGGAAGGCTGAGGCAGGAGAATCGCTTGAACCCGGGAGGCGGAGGTTGCACACCAGCCTGGCGACGGAGCGAGCCTCCGTCTGAAAAAAAAACAGACGCAGATGTAGGCCCCCATCCCCATGCCTGCTATTGGCTGCTCTCGGCTGCCGAGACTGGCCTGCCGCCCTGTGTTTCAGGAGGGTGCGCGTCCGCGGCTGGACCGCGGGGGGCCGGTGAGGAGCCGGGTCTCGGGAGATGGCCCCAGGGGGACCCGCGTTGTTGCTGCTGCTGCTTCTGTTGTTGCCGCTGCCGCCGCTGCCCGGACTCCCCCCCCGCGCCGCCGGCTGCCCGGTCGCCTGCCGCTGCTACAGCG